CCTAAATGTATTAATTAAAAATTTAATTAAATTCCATGCCTCCTTATAAGTGAAAAGTTAATCAAATAGTGCGGGCACCACAAAGCCAAGCAAACAAACATATGTCACTCGGATGATGTTAAAGGATAAACCTCGTAGAAATATTATTGTCTACTATGAAATAACCACCTCAATAGTACCAAGGTTAATGATTTTCTTCAGAAGTAACATTATTTGTTTTAGCAGAGCATTAAGGCAAAATCTAGAACGCATGAAATTATATTCGAAAAATCACAAAATTATTTCTGGATGAATTTATTATATGGCATGGAGCCTCGGTCCAAAATAAGATTTATAACTTGCCTAGTAGCTCCAAGCCCAATATTATGTGGAAATATGGTGGCATTATAAACATTATTGTGTCCATGAACAGCATCAATCCCGTATATCATTGGGATTCCGAGACGGGTAGATAGTGATCCCTTTTGGAAGTTATTGACCATTGCAACCCAATCAGAAGCAGTAGCTTCAGGAAGTGGTATACTCCCTCCTCCACTTAACACGCTGCCTACAAGCAAAAGAAACAACCATAGTTTTATTCAGTTTGTCCCCCTCTCTGGGTTGACATGAAACACAATTCTGGAGAGGTAAAAGAACAAATCTATAAATAAAGGGCTGATCTTTATCTTCCATGATGTAAAAAAGTATTTTGGGTGTGACTAGAAATATAAAAAATGGAATCAATGCCATCATGAAGAATAACAATCACCAAACATATATAAGCTACTCAAAAAAAAGTTTCACCAATGTATTGCTTGCAGATAAGCAGAATAATCCAAATGCAATCACAGAAACAAATTAAGAATTTGGAAGTATAGAACTGATAATTACCAATGAAGTAGTCCCTCATGACCTGAGGGGAAGCAACACTCCGATCAATCTGAACCATCTGACCAATCTTTTCCTCCAGAGTCATCCTAGCCAGCAGATCCTTCACTCGGTCATCGACAGCCTGCTTGGGGTCCATGTACTTGACGTAATTCTCTTCCGCCATTGCCGACCTGCACCTCCAACATATGACCAACATCCCCACCCACCACCACGACATCATTGCGCATCGAACTCTACTATGAATGGCCATTGCTTTCACCAACTATGAGCTAATCAAGATCACAGCTTTAGCTACTAATCCATGAATACTGGGCCAAAGGGCGCTGTATAAAAAGCAGTGTATAACTGTATGTACAGATACGACCAAAAACGGGTACAGGATATGGAAGTGCTGCGTGGAAGAGTAGTGGGATTATAATACTCTGTAACTAAAAAATCCGAGTAATAAATGATAAACTAACAGCCCAAAAGGAAAGAGATTCTTTAGGAAATGGGTGGAACGTGGGCGGGATAAAAACGATTTCGAGTTCTGCTCCACTTTTTGCGGAGTAGGTGGCTTTAAAACTGTGCCCGAAGAATCTTGTTCCAGAGATATGTGTGATTAGGGGGATTATAAATTATTCCCCTCTTATTATAGAAAAGGGTCCAATTTATGAGACCCGTTTTTTAAAATTCATTAGTATTAGACGGTTTAGACCGTTAAGATGTTTTCTTTTGGATTATTTTTAGTTCTAAATCAGACTATATCAGGTCAAATCAGACTTGGATATTTATAAAATACACGATATATATAGGGAGCGGTTCCGGTAAAAACGGATCTTAGGAGAGAAATGAGAATGAATCTGGATCGTTGGATTGAATTATGTGGAACTGAATTGTGCATTTGGTGAAACCGAAATGTGCATTAGATGATATTGAAATGTGCAGAATTAAAATTTAAACTCACATGTGCATTGGGTGAAACTGAATTGTGCAGAATAAAAGGTACAAAAATAACATCACATCGTACCTTTTATTCTGCACATTTTAGTTTCATCTAGTGCACATTTCAAATTCACCTAATGTACAATTTAGCTTCACATAATGACACTACATTGTATCATTTGTGCTGCATATTTCAATTTCACCTAATACACATTACAACTTCTATCTAATGCACATTGAATTTCACTTAAAGCAAATCTAACGGTCCATATTCGTTCTCATTTCTCTCCTAAGATCATGTTCTTATTTGAACCAAAACACACACACACATATATATATATATATATATATATATACACACACACACACAATAGTATATCAAAATAAAAGTAGTGGACAAAATGTGACTCTTATAATATTAGTGACTATAATTGTATTCAAATGTTACGTATATGATGGTGACTAGCTATAAAACTCGCATATAATAATTTATAGTCATATTTTTGTTTATAGCTTTTTTATTAGTAATATTTTAGGAAAATATCAATACTGGTCAGTAAACTACAGATAGTAAGGAAGAAAAATACAGATCCATCATTTTTTCGTCGGTTCTTTTGATCCTCTTTTACTAAAATTGTACGAGTAATGAGACGTGTTGTTTTAAAACAAGTATTAAGTGACTTTTAGAATTTTTTTATCACATTATTTAATGGATATTCAATTTATTTATATATATATATATATATTAATGTGGACTTCAATTTTACATTTGCATATATATTATTTTACATTAATATATATACATTATTTTACATTAATATATATATATATATATTAATGTGGGATTCTAAACTATTAATGGGCTCTCTTAAGTACTTCAAACATAAGTTAAGTGTATCACTTTACGTACGTCACAATTTGTGATCGTTTATGCTAATGGCATACCCCCATCGCCTCACATGTGGCTATTATTGTCAAAAGCTTTTATGGGTAGTTCATACGTAGTACTTAATAGCCATAAGTGGCTCTCTTAACCACGTACTCCCTCTGTCCCATAAAATAAGTCGCATTTCAATTTGGATCGAAGTTTAAGAAAGTGGGAATAAAGTGAAAATGTATGGTTGTGGTTGAGTAAGAAAAAGGTAATTGAATGTTAGCCACATAAAACTTTCCAAAAAGGGAAATGAGAACAATTTTTTGGGATGGCCCAAAAAGGAAAATGGGACTTATTTTATGGGATGGACGGAGTACTACTTACTCCCTCCGTCCCTCTATAATTATCTCATTTTTCCATCTTTGGATGTTCTTTTATTATTGTCTCACACCATATTTGGTAAAATTTGTGTGGCTCTAATTCATTCTTATTTTATTTCCACTTTATCAACTCATTACTAACCACATAATTCTACTTTTCTTAAAAACTACATCACTCCCTTCCGTACCAGTATTAGGGGGCGGAGGCAGTATTTCTTTTCTTCTTTAAAAATTGTAACATTCTGATTTTTGCATTATTAACGAACCTTATTTTAATCAAAATTTTCTACTAATATATAGAAAGAATGATTTAATATTACTTGTAGGGTTTTAGTAGACAAAAACATGACTAATTTCTACGATGACACAAAAGTTACTAAACCTAAGCTTCTCAAACCTTTTCCACCGCCAAGATGTCGCCCAACCCTTTTCCTCTCCCAACCTTCAATGAAGCCACCCAAAGTTGACGGTAGATTCTCTCCCAACCTTCGATCAAGCCTCCAACGACAAAGCCTCCGCCGCCACATCTCTCTAGTCTCCGCCACTCTCCATTTGACGTCGTTCTCTTCTTCTTCTTCTTCTCATCTCTTGATGGCCGATGATTGATTGTCGCGCCTTGGTTAGCCTCTCCGTCGTCCTAGATGGCTGCCACTGCTGGATCCGCCGCCTCAATGAACGACGACTCCGATTTAGTGTCGTCGGTTCCGAATCTGCCGTCTTTGATGGATGACGACTGCGATTTGGGGTCGCCGGTGCCGGATCTGCCATCTCGATGGACAACGACTCTGATTTGGGGTCAGCGTTGTTGGTGGGGTGAGATGAGGGTTTTATTGTGGTGAGATGAGGGTTCTAGTGTAAGAGGACGTCCCTTCCTCTTTCCTTACGAACCACAAACCGTCCGCTTTGACATGGCATAAACCCTCTTCAAATTGATAGAGCATCTCCATTGAGCATCTTCATATCATCAAGATTGAACGTGGAACGACGTTTGCACTCTAGACACAACCACCAATCGCCATAACGTCCATCAACAGTATCAAGCATTTGGTCCCACCGCACCATACAATAGGCACGGGAGGACATGATCCTCAAATAAACTCATCAATGGAGTTGTCATCACTACAACAAATGAGAGCTTTTGTAATACTTCTAAAATGTTACCACAGGGATATCATAATCAACAAACAAAGACTTCAAAGTTATAACGACAGCCTGTACGAAGTTCCAACAGAGGCCGACCTCAACGCATGAAGTCGGAGCACGATAAAGACCACAAATCAATAAAGTATAGAACCACGGCCGAGACCAACCTCGACCCCGTCAATAAAATACACACATATTTTTTTACATCCACTTCATTAAAACATTAATTAAATTATTATAAGTAATGTTATTTTTTGTTTTTTATGAATAGTTGTGAAATTAAAAAAAGCAGATTTCATATGTTAAAAAATAAAAAATTCATTATCTTTTTTCTATACCTTTTCCAGTTTTAATAAAAAGTAAAAACGAGTTCATGTAATATATGATTATTTATGGAGGCTCCATGAATTTGACATTTGTGTTACAACTTTTTTAAGCCAAAGAACTTCAACAGATTTACACTTTAGATGTAAAAAATTTGGGTTTTATGATGCAGGGATGAGGTCACCATGGCATCATCCGCACCACCACCTGGCAGTCTGGCACCTACACGCTACATCCTAGACTCCCGGCCATCCTTTTCTTTTCTTTTTCCTTTTCTTCCCTCCTTGTCAACCCTCCCTCTACAATTAAACCCTCCACCCCATTCCCAATTTTAACCCCCCATTTAATCTACCACTACATACAATTAGGGGTCCAAAACCTCCAAATTTATCATTTTGGACTACTAATACCATAGCACTACAAAGTACAGATGGCCTTATAAAATATGAATGAAGAAACCCAAGTAAGAATGTAAATGGGAATACATGTGAAGATGATGCTTCATGGTAGCCGAATCAAAGATGGGTCCTTATTGGTGTTTGTAATGTTGAATAGGAATTAAGATTACATGTATAACAAAATGATTATTCCAACATCCTCTCTCAAGTATGAACTGAGCAGAAAAGGCACAACGAGAAGTTATCTGTAATGAAATCGAGAGGTAGAATATGCCAATCTTGATTTAAAAAAAAAGAAGTCCTAAACAAAGAAAGCAACTCTTCTTACATAACCATCCCTCCATCAATTGTCAAAACCTGCAGGATTGCATATTGTTGCACACAGTGAGAGGGTGAAGCGGACTCAGCCAAGCAAAGCACAATCTCAAACTTAAAATAGAAGACGCATGTTAAAGATTACACTTAAAATAGAAGGGGAATGTTAAAGATTACCTGCCCTGTCATGTAACTTGCAGCGGGACTAAGTGCAAGAAATTCCACTAGACCGGCAACTTCTTCCGGTTGGCCATACCTTGCTGAAATAATACAAAAATGACATCATTTAATATTATGCATAACATAGTCTTTCTTTGTGCATTTAAAGTAGCACCACTACGTCAAGAAAAGGCATACGCTTTCTGATTTATGAAAAGTACAAAAGGAAAATGATACAATAGGGGAACAAGGTCCACCTCACAATGACTTGACCAGTGGTGGTTTTCTCACCTAATGGGATTTGGTTCAAAATCTTTTTTTCAATGTCTTCCCCTAGCTTAGAAGTCATATCAGATGCAATGAACCCAGGAGCAACAGCATTTACCTGTAAACAAGAGTTTAAGAAACTTACATGCCCATTATTGTGAGTACTTGGTTATTACTCCCTCTATCCCAAAATATTCTTAATGCTTTCTTTTCTGGTTCGCCTTTTCCTTTTCGGGTCATCCCAAAAGGTTCTCATTTATTTCAAGGGAAATATGGTATGGTTTATATTGGTTCTCCCTTTTGATAAATCCTAAGCACACAATTCCTGTCTAAAAAAGTGTAAAATGTGAAGGGGAAGAGCATGACAACACGGAGAAGTAGGAACTAGTGTGCTTCAATAAAATGAAGTAAAAGAAATGGAGGACCAACTGTAATCTTCCTGCTTGCATATTCTTTTGCCACAGTTTTAGTCAGTCCAATTACACCAGCTTTTGCAGCACTATAGTTCGCTTGCCCAAAATTGCCAACAAGGCCAACAACTGAAGATATATTGACTATTCTTCCCTGAAAGACCACAAAAAGGAATATCTTCTCAATGTCCAACTCAATTACAACTATAGCAAGGATATAAATTATGTGAGATGAGAACTTGTTATAAGAAGACCTTTTTCTTCTTCATCATTATTTTGGCAGCTGCCTGCAAAAGGTACAAATGTTAGACCCCTGAAAACCAAAATTAAGAATATTTGGGATTTAGATGGATAGTCATATGCAAAGCTTACTTGTGTACACAGAAAAACACCAGTAAGATTCAAATCAATAACCTCCTGCCATTGAGATCTAGTCATCCTCATCAGCAAACCATCCCTGGTAATACCTGAAATCAAGGCAGCTATTTTAGCCAATGTACATTTTTAGCATTCATATACTAAGAAATTGTCACAACGATGACCTGCATTATTGATCAATATATCTACTGTTCCCCATGCATCAACTGCCTGTACATTTAACAAAAATTAGAACACCGGCTTAAAAGACACGCTACAGAATTTAAAGAATGTGTTTGCTCACAGTTTTCATCATTGCTTCCACATCAGCCTCTTTAGAAACGTCTCCACCAAAAGCAAGAGCCTGAGCACCACCTGCCTCGATCTGCAAGATACAGTATTGTTACAAAATCCTTGTGGAAATGACACTATGTTAGCCTGCCACAAGTTTGTCCTTTGACAATGCTTGAATAGTAAAAATTGTGACAGTGCGCTAACTAGTAAATTGATGCAAGTTTAAGAGTTGGGAATTTGGGAGATTGAAAAATATCTTATAAGGTGCCAGTGGCCTCACTATTTGCTTCTACATTATTGTTATCATGCACAATGTTTTCCTGAGACCCCTAACACTATTGCTTCAAGCACCATCAAATCCTCAAAATCTTTGTCATCCCAATTCCCAGTCTATCTCAATTCCTTTTACGATCTCTTGCAGTCTATTAGAGTACTACTAGTTGATAACTTACTACACTAATCTTCTTTATTAGATCCTCTTCAAAACCTAACATTCTTATAAATGTAATAAAGCCGGTCATATGATACTCCTATTAAAATTTACAACAGTCTTTAGAAGCACGATACGAAGAGTGAAAGACAGTCAGAATGCAAATGTCGTGAAGGGGCATTTGCAGAACTCAGTCAGAATATAACAACTTCAAATAAGCTGGGTCATGTTATTACTGAATTTAACGTAATGAAAATGCTTTTTTGATCATTTGATTTAGAAGCTGCTACTTACCTCTTTGCACACTTCTTCAGCCTCTTTTGAGGACCTTGCATAATTAACCAAAACCTACAACACAAAATACATGACAATCATTCTCAAAACAGCAAAATGGATTCCTAAAAACAGTATACTAACATTATATTAGCATTACTGAAATTTAATCTCAATTATGAAAGGACGACAGCATTTCCATAAAAACTTTAATTACCTTACATCCTGCTTTCCCTAAAGCCAGGGCAATGGCTTTGCCAATTCCTCTAGAGGCTCCAGTGACAACAACTACGGGAGATTCTACCGTTGGAATCACTTCAGCAGCTTGTTCTACTGCAGCAACCTGGGCTTTTACATCTACACAAACCAGTTAAACCAGGAATACATATCGAAAGTGAAATAAAAATCAGATGATTGATTGTTTACAAGTATAAGATAGGCAGTTCTAAGCGGCACTGCAGATGAATATAGATGAAATTCAAAGTTCAAAACCACTTCAAATAAGGATAATAATTAATAAATATTTCTAGTACATTATTACTCCATCCGACCAAAAGACAAGTCATAAATTATATGGGGAAATTTCCCAGAATGAGTAAAATCAATGTGTTGTTCCAAAATAGGAGTATTTTTCCCTAAATAGGGGTAAATTGTTTCCATCTGAAATCATACTGCCATATTATGGTATTAACAGGCATTAGTATGGCAGTACAAATGCCATATTTGATATGGTGTAGTATTTTCAAAAAAAAGGCTGTAATAACTCCTACATAGGGAAAAACATAGTCCAACTATTTTGGATATCACATTGTTCTTGCTCCTAATTAGGAAAATTTCTGAACTATATATCTTGGAACGCAAATCAAACAACCACTCCATTTGATGGCTGAAAAAAAGTTGTTCTATCAGTACAATTGTTCAGGAAAATCAACTTATCTACTCTGAATTTAAAAGAAGAAGAATTTTGCAAATCAAATAAAAGAATCCTCCTCAGATAAAAAATTTTCAGCCTCTGCGTCCATACATAAGAAAATAGAAGCGTTTTGGACAAAAAAAATCATTTAGGAAAACGGAGCTAAGTTATACGGTTCCCTTTTATGACCAAAATACTCTATATTTATACCTAGATCATTTACTGAACCAACTCAATAATATGCAGTAGAGATAACAAATACATGTAGCATTGTATATACACACACTTCTGCATTTGTAGGATGGATAACGTTGAAGTTAGTAAATTTACCATAACGGGGAAACGAGCTTTTGGATCCGCATTTTGATGCAAACCCAGATCCACATTGGAGCTTGAGCGGCGAGCAAGGTTGCCGCAACGGAGAGAATTTCCGGTGGCCGTGGAGCGAAGATTTCTCGGAAACTCCGGTGGCTCCGAAGGAAATGACGGCAGCTCCTGCAGCGAAGGCAGCCATGCTCCTTTTAGAAAACAAAGAAATGTAGCTCGTAAAGCAATCAGATTTGTTGATTCGAACAAAGAAGTTTGGGTTTTCAAGTTTTATGCTGACATCGAAAGCTCCGAAGAGCAGGCGATTCATACGATGCTCTTTTTCTTCGTTGTTTGCTTAATTTATGGTGGGGTTTTGGACTTTTGGTAGTTTGACCTCAACTACCCTGGGTTCTCTTTGAGGCAAGTTATTTAGGGGCTGGCACCAAAAATTGAAATAACTAAAGGTTAAAAAATAGAAAAATTGTTGTGAAATAAAGAAGATGAAGATCAAATTTAAGAGAGAGATATATATATAAAAAGTTCTAAATTACTTCTTCCTAATATCTGTATATTTTCTAAATTTCTGATTGAGTTTACAATGCCTCATCAAGCTCCTATTTATACTGTTTGAGCTTGATGATTAGTCACTTAAGAGATGAATCTACAGATTTGGTGGCAATAACAATTTGAGCCATCTGTTCTAACTAGGTTACAAGGATTAAACATAATTTCTGGATTGATGACAAGGATGAACAATTCACATTTGTCATTTCCAGGATTTTACAACACTCCCCCTTGAATGTTCATCCTTGAATAGTTGTCTATTATTTTAAAAACTTATTGTGAAAATTAAGGGGTAAAAATTACGACTTATAATGTCGTTGTATTTGGATGTACTGTCTCGTTAAAAACCTTATCCGGAAAAACCCAGTGGGATACAAACCTGATGAAGGGAAAAAGAGTGCAGTGCATTCAAATACTCCCCCTGAATTTAGTATAAATTATGAAGACGTCGCATGCCGATTTTCTGTACAAGTTCCATGAACTTCTTCGGGGGTAAAGATTTGGTGAAGAGATCGGCTGGATTTTCACTGGATCTGATTTGTTGAATGTTGATCGTCCCTTCTTTCTCGAGATCATGAGTAGAGAAGAACTTTGGTGATATGTGTTTTGTTCTGTCTCCTTTGATGTAGCCTTCTTTAATTTGAGCTATGCACGCAGTGTTGTCTTCGTAGATCACAGTAGGATGACAAGTAATAGACTTCATACCGCATTCATTTTGGATGTGTTGAATCATAGATCGTAGCCACACACATTCTCTTCCGGTTTCATATAGTGCAATTAACTCAGAATGATTTGACGATGTAGCTGTCAATGTCTGCTTCATAGATCTCCATGAGATTGTGGTGTTACCATAAGTAAATACGTACCCGGTTTGTGATTTCGCCTTTTGAGGATCTGATAAGTACCCAGCGTCTGCATATCCGATTAAAGCAGTTTTTTCATCTTTGTGGTAGAATAAGCCAAGATCAATTGTACCACGTAGATAACAGAATATGTGCTTGATCCCGTTCCAATGACGTCTTGTTGGGCATGAACTGTACCTAGCTAATAAATTTACGGAGAATGCAATATCTGGTCTAGCATGATTAGCTAAATACATTAAAGCTCCAATGGCACTCATATATGGTACTTCGGGACCAAGTATTTCTTCATCATCTTCTCGGGGACGGAATGGATCATCGTGTATGTTGAGAGATCGAATCACCATTGGTGAAGTCAAAGGATGAGCTTTGTCCATATAGAATCTCTTCAAAACTTTCTCGGTGTAATTGGATTGATAGATGAAAATTCCATTCTTCAAATGCTCAATTTGAAGTCCGAGACAAATTTTGGTTCTCCCTAGATCTTTCATTTCAAATTCTTTCATAAGATATTTTGCAGTATTTTCAATCTCATCGGGAGTTCCAATAATATTTAAGTCATCAACATATACTGCAATTATGGCGAATCCCGAATTTAATCGTCGGATGAAAACACATGGACTAATTGGATCATTCTTATATCCTTCCTTAAGAAGGTATTCACTGAGACGATTATACCACATTCGTCCAGATTGTTTTAGTCCATACAATGACTTTTGTAGTTTAATGGAAAACATTTCTCGAGGTTTCGAGCTACAAGCTTCAGGCATTTTAAATCCTCCGGGAACTTTCATATAAATTTCTGTATCGAGTGAACCGTATAAATATGCAGTTACTACATCCATTAGGCGCATTTGCAGCCTTTCAAAACAGACATGCCAATGAGAAACCTTAATGTAGTTGCATCAACTACTGGAGAATAGGTTTCTTCATAATCAATTCCCGGCATTTGAGAAAACCCTTGGGCAACAAGTCGGGCTTTATATCTTACAATTTCATTTTTCTCATTGCGTTTACGCACAAATACCCATTTAAAGCCTACTGGTTTTACGCCTTTTGGCGTAGGGACTATCGGTTCAAAAACATCACGTTTTTCAAGTGATTTCAATTCAGCCTGAATTGCTTCATTCCATTTTGGCCAATCGTGTCGTTTCCGACATTCTTCTATTGATGTTGGCTCATTGTCATTGTTTTCATTCATAACATTTGTGGCAACGGCATAGACAAATATCTCATTAATATCAATATCTTTACGATTCCATTGCATTCCAGTAGAAACATAGTTTATTGAAATTTCATAATTATCAACGTTTCTATCATTATCTGGAATATCTTCCTCATTTAAGGAAGTTGGATCATCATTTGAGATATTTGTTTTGTCAATATCATTTTCTATGCCAATATTTTCAAATTGTTCATTTTCTTGTTCAGAAGGATGAACATCTTTGGCATCACAGATTGATTCCTGCCTTTTAGTTTTTCTTGGTTTTATATCTTTCGATCCAAGTGGCCTACCACGCTTTTTGCGTATAGAAGAATCGTTTGCAAAAGATTTTTCAGAATTCTCTGTTGGGATTTCGATTCTGGCAGGGGCATTTATGGCAGGAATATGTGACTTTGTCACTTTCTTTGTGTCTGTGAATGCATCAGGCAACTGATTTGCAACATCTTGTAAATGGATTATCTTTTGCACCTCTTGCTCACATATATTTGATTTTGAGTCAAGATGTGATAATCCTGTTGCATTCCACGTTATTTCTTTCGTACTTGGGTCCGATTTATTAGTTTCTCCCCCTAAGGTTGGGAATACTGTCTCATTGAAATGACAGTCAGCGAACCGTGCGGTGAATAAGTCACCAGTCATCGGTTCAAGATATTTGATTATTGAGGGAGATTCAAATCCAACATAAATTCCCAACCTTCTTTGAGGACCCATTTTTGTACGATAAGGTGGAGCAATCGGAACATAAACAGCACAACCAAATATTTTAACGTGTGCTAAGTTTGGCTCTTGTCCAGTAACTAATTGCATTGGAGAATATTCATGATATGCAGTCGGTCTAAGCCGAATTAAATTTGCTGCATGTAAAATAGCATGTCCCCAAGCTGATGAAGGCAAATAACACTTCATTAATAATGGTCTAGCGATTAATTGTAATCGTTTAATCAAAGATTCAGCAAGACCATTTTGTGTATGGACATGAGCAACAGGATGCTCCACATCAATCCCAATCGACATACAATAGTCGTTAAATGATTGGGATGTAAATTCTCCTGCATTGTCAAGTCGGATTCTCTTTATAGAATGATCCGGAAAATGAGCTCTTAATCGTATGATTTGAGCAAGGAGTTTAGCAAATGCTAAATTTCTAGTCGATAAAAGACTAACATGTGACCAACGTGTTGAAGCATCAATCAACACCATAAAATATCGAAATGGTCCACATGGTGGGGCTATCGGCCCACAAATATCTCCTTGAATCCTTTCTAAAAATGCAGGTGATTCAGTTACAATTTTGTTCATTGAAGGCGTGATGATCATTTTTCCAAGAGAACAGGCCTTACAAGGAAAATCGCTTGATACTGGAACCCTGATATTCTTTAATGGGTGTCCAAGTGAAGTCTTAATGATTTTATGCATCATTACTTGGCCTGGGTGACCTAAACGGTCATGCCACAACATGAATGTTTTCCGATCATCTAACTTTGTGTTAGAAACCAAATTTATTTCGAATGGACTAATATATGTGAAATATAGTCCTGAGGAATATGCTGGAATTTTTTCACAAATATATTTAGTGCCAGATTTAGTTGTTGTAAGACAAAGATATTCCTTTTGATTTTCATTCATGGTTTCTATGTGATAACCATTTTGACGCATATCTTTAAAGCTTAATAAATTTCTCCGCGATTTGCTGGAGTATAGAGCGTCATTTATAATAATTTTTGTCCCGTTAGGGAGCATCACATATGCTTTCCCAGAGCCTTCAATGAGCTTCGCAACACCTGATATTGTATTGACTTTAGCTTCAACTAAAGTAAATTGAGAAAAATATATTTTATTTCTCAAAATGGTGTGCGTTGTGGCGCTGTCTATCGGACATAGCTCTTTATCATTTGAATGATCCATATCTTCAATATATATAAATAAACATTAGCTTGATCACAAATTATGCATTTTATTTAACATAAGAGTACATACATTATACATATTTAATTAAAAACAAAATCAAAAAGGGGAAGAAAGAAAAAGTACATAAAACTAGTATTGTAGTATTGTACAACATGAGGAGTCTACTATTTTATTTAGTAACATTTTGGTTTAAGGCAAAAGCATCATCCATAATGGCATCATCCGCGAAAAAATCAGACACGTCAAATTTTGGCAGAGATGGAGTTGTGTCATTGACATAATTAGCTTCCATATTATTGCCTTTGTTCAAATTCATGGAAGATTGAAATAACTCCACCAGATGTTTCGCAGTACGACATTTGTTAGCCCAATGCCCCGTCATGCCACACTTGTAACAAGCCGTTTTCACCGAGGGTTTTGTAGGGCGATTTATTTGATGGGTTTTTTGTTTGCCCTTGCCCTTGTAATTTGGTCTGTCGACCCGTTTATATCCTCGGTGTGGCTTGTTATTATGACCATTAAAATGTCCACGTTTAAAATGCCTTCTACTGCCACTGTATGTTGCATTTGATTCAGTGGCTAAATTATGGCCAGATGGACCATAAACCGAAGGACTAGAACCAGTGGGTCTCAGATTATGATTTTTCATCAAAAGGTCATTATTTTGCTCAGCTACCAATAATACTGATATTAAATCGGAGTATTTTTTAAAACCCTTTTCTCTATATTGCTGCTGTAGCAGCATATTAGAAATATGCATTGTAGAAAAGGTTTTCTCCAACATATCAGCATCAGTGACTTTTTGTCCGCATAACTTTAGTTTAGATGTTATTTGGAACATGGCAGAATTATAGTCACTGATTGATTTAAAATC